CCCAGAGCAGTTTAACCTGCTGTACTTGATAAGTATAAGCTTCTGTGGTGGTTAGAGTTCATGGTGAGCATTCACAGACTATACATACTCTCACATTCTGAGCCCATTCTTACTATCAAGAATTTATTCTTTCTCCTACAAAGCCCTTGACAATTTTTATAAAATTAACCTCTCTCCATGAATTTCTATACAAGGGGGGAAACCCCTGCAACCAGAATTTATTTATAGAAAATTGTGTGTTTATTCTTACATGTTTAAACTTCAGTCACCTTCAAAGTACTCTACATTTGATGCAATATATCTATCAAGTCTTTTTTCCCCCACTGCTCAAAATAGTTTTGGAATGCATTGATTTTTATGCCTTTTAGTGTTTCTGCAGGTTTTTGTTTCACCCCTTCCACATTGGCAAAACCTTTCCCTTTGAGGACTTTTTTCATCCAGGGAAACAAATAAAAAAAACCAATCAGGCAATACCAGGTGAATAGGGAAGGGTGGGGCACAGGGGTCATGCCATTTTTGGTCAAAAACTGCTGAACACTCAGCGTGGTATGGACAGGTGCATGCGTAAATCACCCATCATGAAATGGGCAAATATGTTCAAAGAGTCTTCAAAAAAAAATCCACTGAAGATGGATCACAGTGCCACCTGGAACAGTGGTACAGATGAGTTCCTAGAACACTCCCCTTGCAAGGGGAAGCCTGTAGTACAAGGGACCCTCCCTCCAGAGGATAATTCCGGAGGAAATTGTTTTGGGTTCCCCCTCATAGATTGTAACACGTCACTTTTCTGGCTGGCAAAGTGAAAGCCAAGATGTGCTCCTTGACAGGCAGCTCCAGAGAAGTGTTAACATCTCTGCTTTCCTCCCGGGGTATTTCTGCATGCTACTGTAATGCGTTAGCCTCCTGGTGGGCCAGTGTTGGCACTACCTGCAGTGCCGTTTGTTAACAAGATTCTGTTTTTTATGCAATGGCGATAAAGAACTCTCCATGAGATCATAAAGGTAGAGTGAGGGAAAGTCACACTGTGTCAAGAGTAGGCTGATGACACTATGGGCTCTCTGACCATGAAAAATACATGTGACCTCAGGACCTGCTCAGGCCCTTTCTCATGCGTATTCTCATTTAAAGATGGAATCTTGCTTGCAGTCAATTGGCAGGTCAGTGAAAGCAGTAACAACCATAATGGCAGCTTGGCTCCCCCAAGTAGATGTTCCATTTCTATCAGGGTTTACTAGTTCATCAAGAGCTATTTCTTAAAGGGAAAATAAACCAATAGGGTGTCTGCTCTAATTCTGAGGCTTGCTACATAGGCTCTGATGTAAAAAACTGCAGAAAATACTTTGAGCTTCATGAACACCAACAATGTATATGCACTCAGCGGGAAGAGTTAATGGATTTGGAAACTGGCCCGTCTTATACACCTACTCTTGCAGTGTAGTCCACTCAGGATTGGAAACTTTTAGTGTCAAAACAAAAATGAGTCGGAGCAGCACAGCCAATGGCAGCATATGTTGACTCCAAAATGTGTAAGCATTTAAGAATAACTATATGGAGAAAGAGTGTTATTTACAGACTACAATTCTATTTCATAAAGAAAAAAGGATAAAAGCTTAGTCACATCAGGTAATGAATTTCCTACTGACCATGCTTCTTTAGTTTCTTCCCCTGTTGTTTACTGTATTTACCATGTCTAGTTATGTTTTTCATCTTTTTTTCCCCTCTGAACATAGTCAAATTACCAAGTAAACCCACATGCAGGCCTTCTGCCAAATTGCTTCTAAAGGAACTCAGGAGAGTGTCAGTGCCGTGGCTCTGGGCTCTGATGCTCAGTAACGTCAACACACACTCAGCATTAAACACGTCATCTCGAACATTTCGGTTTAACTCCATCACTGTCATAAGTGCAAGCTATTCTCAAGTAGTAGAACTCAACTCATAACTCTAGCATTGTGTACATATCTCCTCCAAAATTCAACCTCCACCCTCCATTTTCCAGTTAAATCAGTCCAGTGTGCCCATTGTTATAGAAAGGCTATTTGTGTCCCCTTAAAATTTATTGTGCCCAATGTGATGCTATTAGGAAGTGAGGCATTCAGAAGGTGATTAGTTCATGAGGGCAGAGCCCTCATAAGTGGAATAAATACCTTTACCAAGGAGGCCCTCAAGTCTCTCCTTGCCTTCTTCCACTGTGTGTGGACACAGGCAGAAGGTACTGTTTTTGGACCAGGAAACTTCAGTACTGAATCTGCCAGTGCCTTGATACTGATACTGGGCTTTCCAGCCTCCAGAGCTGTGAGAAATAAACATTTGTTGTTTATAAGCCAACAGTTATGGTATTTTTAGAGCAGCATGAACAGAGTAAGATACACATAGAATTGTGGATTGTAATCAGCAATCTTCCCATTATTCTACCTCATCATTCAGTGTATTCCCTGGCTACTGGCCAGTATATACCTCCTAAACATAAGTGAAAATATTTGTCTTGTATTCACACAGCTCTCCATGAAACCCAATCAAGTAGACCATGTTAATTTCCACGCATTTGAAATACACCAGAGTCATAAGTTAGAGTCAACATGCACTTCACTCTTTATTGTTCTATTTAAATGTCATTCTGAATCCAAAGCATTTGGATTTGAATTAAAATTTACAGATAATAAACTCAGTGAATGGTGTTAGTGGGTTTCAAAAAATGTTCTGAGATGCTATTAAATGAAGTAAGAAACTATTCTTAGACAGAAGCTAGAAGTATGTTCTTCATTAAATTTTAAGGAGTGCACTGAAATTTAGGTCATGGTTATACAAATATACTGGGATTTTAATTAGAAATATAAGTAGCTGTGCTATAAAATTCTCAATTTGGTAATGAATTAAACTATTTTAAGAGAAGTTTCATGAAAAAAAATTTAAAGTGTAATTTTGGTTTGATTAAAGGAAGTTTTCTAAGGAAAAAATCTCTGGGTTGACAAATAGAGACATTATGACAACCCATGATTATCAAGATATTCTGCTTCCATTGATGTCTCTGTTTCCTCATTGTTTATGCTCAGAAAAATTTCTCCAGAAGGTGAAAGGATGAAAACTAAAACTCTAGTCAATTTTGATTATTACTTACAGATGTATAATAAAATCAACACCAAAAACGAATTATTGCTACTCATAAGTTTTATTATTAAGGAATCATTTGCTTTCTTTAACACATAGCACATGAACAATGTTGATGCAGACACTGGCCCACAGTGTCTGCGTCATTATGGATGAAATGAGACATTCACACGGACTACCGAGTCCCGTGGAGGAAGAGGGACAGCATGGCTTTTCTCTCAAGGGAAGCAAAAGCCTTGACCCTTGCTGTGACCAGCCTTTACTGGGTTTCTCGGCACATTACATGATGGTCCTCATTTACTATGCACAGGTTCGCTTTAGGTGGCTACCTTTTACAGAAAACAAAGGAGCCAATGCTGCTCATCACATCACAGAAGAGGGATATTTGCAAATAAAAAGGCAAAAGTGGTTGAACTGGTTACACTCATCCTTGGAAGGTTTAGCATGGATTTTAGGAAGTTACTTTACAGTAAATGTCCTCAATTCAGGGTGAGAGAGTTTTTTTTTAGCAAGAGCAAGACCCAAAGCAGCCTAGGCACATTGCAGGCCTGATTCCCCACGGGAGAACCTATCCGTGGGCGTGAGTCCTGTGCATCTCCGAGTGGGAGCTGGGCCCACGCCACACAGAACGGTCTCCTACACAAAGTAATAAGAGTAGACAGAGTAAGACAAGACTTCAACAGTAATTTATACTACAGCACTCTTACCATCTCACTCCATGTATGGTAGTATCACTGAAATGATAATTGTTTATAGTGGTAATAGGTCCAGTCTGAGTCAAACTCACTACACTTGGGAGCACACACAAGATGATTCTAAAAAAATCATCTTAAGTTTATTTTTCATCCTTTTGTTGTTATTGTTTTACTTTGTATTTTGGAGGTTCATACAATAAGGACAGATCAAAAGCCCCACAGACTTGGAAATGGTTAGAAAACATTAATTTCAGCAGTTAATGAGAATTCAGTATGACCTGCTACTTAATGTTATCCATAGTATTTTCTGTTTGTTAGTTTGACTTTTACATTTACAAATGTATCTATGAGACATTATATTGCAATGCATTCTCTGCAAAAACCTTCATAAATATGTTTTATAGCATCTGTGTTTGTACTCCTTTCTATTGCTCAAATCTATCCTTGTCCCCTATTCCCTACACACTTTGAATTCATTCATCCTAAATGTACCACGAAACCTATAAAATTCTGAAGTGTAAGTGTTGCTCTCTGAGACTTCTTTTAGCAGCTTACTCATATTACCTCATATTTTTCTTACCATGTGCAATAGGATAGGTTTTATCTGATTTAAGTTTATAGTTAACTTAATTTGTTAACAGTTTTGTTAACAAGTTAAATTTAAATAATAAATCTAAATATTTATCATTGCATTGATATTTTTAGAATGACCAAGTACTAAGAGGCTGGATCTGGCATCAGTTACTAACGAGGGATGTTGACTCTTCTCCATCTACCAGGTCACAGTCTGAAGGTCTTTACTATTTATTATTGATTTACTTATTCATCTATTTATTTATTTACTTATTACTGATTTTATTTTATTTTATTTTTTTTAGTATGAATGAAACTTTAATTTATGACATTGATGGCATCTTAAAAAAGTATATTATTTTACAAAAGGTATGGGACAATGGCTTATACATTTTAGAACATGTGTCTACCTATATGTAATTATACACATAGTTATATTACATTTATATTTAAGGATACTTTTACATACATGTAGTGTATGTATAAGCGATAATTAATTCCAAATGAATTAATGATCTAATTTTTAAAAATATTTAAGTTTTCTATGAAATTAGTCTATCTATTCATACATCTCTATCAACCTATCTATCCAATCTTTGGGTGATAAAAATTTTCTTATGCACATAAAGGAATATGGAACATTTCATGAATTTGCAGGTCATCCTTGCACAAGGGCCATGGTAATCTTTTCTGTATCGTTCCAGTTTTAGTATATGTGTTTGCAAAGCGAGTCCTACTTATTACTGCTTTTAGAGAGAGGAAGGGAAAGATAGAGAAAAAGATTGATTTGTTGTTCCACTTATTTATGCATGCATTGGTTGATTCTTGTATTGCCCTGACTGGGGACTGAACCCACAACCTCGAGTATCAGAATGACACTCTAACCCCTTGAGCTACCCTGTCAGGGCCTATTTACTATTAACTTAGTGACTCTGGTTGAGAACCTTGAATTCAATTAGTTATGGGAAGATTAAATTAAAAAGGTTACTGAAAACAGCTTTATTCCTACACCTGGTTGAAAGGAGAAGGGAGAAAGTTGGATGTTTCACAGTAGCTATTCTCACATGACGTTTCCTAGGTCTAAACAGATGAGGGATGGCTCATTTGTGATGGTGCAAGGGTTCCAGGTGCTTATGACTGTCAGTGCTCTAGCTCCATCTGTCAGGGGATGGGTCATCATATACCAACTTTCCCCTCCAGATCCTCAGTGGCCCGAGAGGCCATTGTTTCAAAGTGTTCAACTGTGGGGAACGTGGGACCAGCCTGGCCTTCCTAGTGGTTTCCTGTGAGCCCAGAGAACTAACCGTGTGCATATCACCAATCTTGGGGACTTTAATATTATTTGGATGTTATGTAGAAAGTGTTCTAATGTGGATCATACATTTATATTTCAAAATAAAACCTAGTAAAACGTAATGAGTAAAATTTTAACTCTCTGTTTTTTAGGTGATTATGGAGCACGTGAACATGAGGGTATTTTTATCACACAATTCCTTGCTCCCGTCCTCACGTGCTGAGCATGTAATTGTGTTGCTGGCCGAATACAAATACCTGAATATCTGGGAAAGGATAGCTTTCAGTAGACGGGAGGTGATCCTGTTATTAATATTTTTTTTTACTGTATCTTCTGCCTTGCAATTACATTGTGGCTTGTAATGCTATGCCTTGGCTTACAAATGCTATGCCTTGAAGGCTCTGTTTTAAAAAAGAAAAAAAAATCAGAAGCAAATGTTAATATTCTGGCACTTTGGAAATATCATTTCTGAACATCACCCTCTGCCTTATGCTGACCTTTGGGAGACGACATTACTAACAGTACAATGAGGACAGCAGGAAAGACTCTAAAAACTAGTCAGATTTCCCCTTCGAGGAAATGTGGTGTGCAATATGAGATGGGATTTTTCTAAATTACTCTCACAAATGTTAACACCCAATCTATGAGATGCCAGCAATCTATGCCTTTTGCTAGGGGTTTGTAATTTCAATCAACTTTAGACACCGTTGCCTACCTTTACATGCTGATTATGGTGGAGACAACACAAAGCAGCTGTATATATTCACCCAGCAAGATGTTACACCATAAATTACTCATAGGTGACCTGATGAATATAGAAAGTATATCTAGCATGTTGAATTAACCCAAAATTTAAATCCAAGAGAAACAGCATTTGGATAGCCTTTGCTCAAACCTAGCACTCTATTATGCTTGTGAAGGGCAGGCATGATCGTTTGCTAGGTAAATGTCTCCATATAGACAGTTTAATCTCTTCTCCTCACAGGTGAGAGAGTGTAAGACACTTAAGCATCTGCAGTCTTGACTAATACATCTGTGAATGCTAATAGTCTCAAGAATAGTTCTGTACTACGGCACCACTTTCCTAAGAAAGCATCAAAATATGCTTGAATAAAAAACATTTATTTTATAGTTAAAATTGCATGCTAAAATTATGAGCTATGCAGCAATTTCATCTGCATTCAATTGCTAGTCAACAGTTCTTTAACTATAAGAAGTCATTGATCAAGTCAAATGGGCTTTGGGTTTTGTTTTCATCAGCTATTTAGCATTTGAGAGACACTTTGCTCTCAAGTAAACATTTGCAAAATAAAAAACATAAAAGGAAGAATGAGTAATGTTATAATGCTACTGTTATTATTATGGTTTTAATCCTGTGCTGGTGGTTCCGGACATAGAAATAAACAAAGGAGAACCTATTTTTCCCAACCCTGTTTGAAGTAAGAATTTTTCCCCCAACTTTTTATTTTATTTTGTCTTTGAGAATATTTAAGGTCTTGTATACTTTAATCATTTTTTCCTCTTTAATAATTCTGGGCTTAAGGAGAATGTGTACTTTGCATAAATTTTACTCATAGCAACAGAAAAAGTCACAGACTTTATCATTGCTTTCTTGTTTGTTAAGTTGGTCAGAGGGCACAGCCAAATCTTCACTCTGACTCCATTACTGAATAACAAACAAAACAAAACAAAACCAATTAAACACACAGATACAAAGCAGTAGACAGGGATGCATGCTTTACCCAACTAGAGCTAATGCAAAGCATTAACAAATGAAATGCCAAAGGCTCTTCATCCTGAGCCATGTTTGTTCAAACAATAAAACTTTTTAAGGACAGAACGGCGATTTCCTATGTAGGAAGGAAATGAGAGTACACGTGCACTGTCTGTAAAGAAAGGCAGCTTGCTTATACTGGTGGTTCCCTGATTGCTCATCCCCAAACCTTTACTTTATGAATGTAATCGTTAGGTGTTTGAGTGGGTTTTTTTATACTACTTAATCTCTCTTAAACGTCAATTCAATTAGAAAAGTACATTTTTGGGGAACTTAACTGTTCCAACATATACCCCCACCCCACATAATACCTAAGGACAGGCATTAAAGTTGTGACATATGCTAACATTAGGATCTTGGGTCACTGTCCAGGCAAATATCATAATAGTAAAAAAATTTCCCTTGAAAAACCATTTAAATTATCCATAAAATAGAAATATTGTGTTTTATGGAAGATTGATATTGGTAACCACAACCAGAGAGCAGGTCTTTGAAGAGGTTATAAAACAAGAGCCACTATATTTGATTTGAATTTAGTTACTACTACGTTCAGTGTTTTTATGCACAAAGTCCCATTGGAATCAAGCAAAATTATTATACTTGTATGTTTTCCCCTGAATTCACCTTAGTGCATTCCATTCCTAGGCACTGTTTTAAACTGTAATGCATACTTTCAGTAGGGAGATACTCTTGCTACTGAATTTGTGAATGTTCAAAACTATTCATGTTCAAAACCTCAGTGTCACATAAACATTTTCTTAAAATCGGTTAGAACAGGCACATGTTTATTATGCCATAAGAGATGTAAGGCCATGTAATTACTAACTGGAAAACTTCATGGTCTGAAGCCCCATGTCTTTGCTTTGCTTTTTCTTCTTTTCATCTAGATGTTTGTCTAAAGACATATGTATCATTGCTAAATGTGATGTCAGCTCAGCCACCGACGTAATCTCACAACTTTGAAAATGATCATTGTTAGTTCTGGTAATAAAAAATTCAGGAATGCAACAGACTTCTTGGTGCAAATCCATACTAAATCTGTTCTTACTGAGTTTGTTTTAAGAAGATGTAGTACTGCATATAAAATGTAGGATTGTGGGATCCATATCACCCAACTTATGTCAAAACAGAAAAAAATCATGTCCCAGGGTTCCCAGAAAATACTACTAATAATAGCCTATCTAGGGAACATTATCTATAACAATATGTGAACAAAATTCTTCTAAGAATACATTAGCTGGCAAGTTTTAAATTTTTTCAAGGTGAAGATTCCGCTTACTCTCAATCCCTAAGTTTTTAAAACTTTTTTTATAACCTAATAATTTGAGATATGCATTTACTGACTAAGGGATTTCAAGGTGCAGAAACACTGGGCTGCCAAATTCCCAGTCCTTCTCGCTCTTGCATTAATTAATGCAAACTGATATGGTGAGTTAACTAGGGCTCCGCTGGCAGTAGCATAAAGTGCAGTATGCTTGCTATCTTTTCCGTAATGGAAAAGCTGAATGTAGAAACTCAGAACGTGGGATGTTATAAATATCTCCTTCGCCAGCCCTTGAAAACAGATTAAAGTCTTAGTGACAGCAAGGACAGTAACTTCAGTGAGAAAAATCATCTTCCCGTTAAAAAGAAATGTGATGTCCATCTTGGACTCGCCTTCTCAAAATTATGCTAAGAGATGTGGACAGGAGTCAGGATGGAATAATAAGAGTCGTTAGGCAGGGGAGAACCTGATGTTCTTCTGCGGTAGGAAGTAATTATGTCCAACACCCTTATCAACTGATAGTCGCATTTTACTTAAACCGAAACGGTAGAAATTGAAGTTTGGACTTCAGTGTATACAACCTCAAAATGTTTTTGCTTGATAAGAGTGAAAACTAATTTAACTGTGCGTATGTAATACATGTGACAACATGATATTTGGTCACTGTTTTTAGAGTTGCTTCTTGATACATGGAGAATGAGTTGAGTCAGGCCAGAAGCAATACAATTTGAAAAACACAACACAAAATATTTGTCTCTGCATGTTCTCTGATTCTGTTCCATTTACTGCATAGTTCCTGGGTTCTCTACAATGATTTCAGATGTTATAAGGATGATTTGACACCTCTGGTCTTAATGTATCAAGGTCATGATTGATGAGGTCTAAAAATTTTGCAAGTGAATAACATTCTTTTTATTACCCCTGACACCGTTGAGTAAGGAACATCAAGCTCCTACCCACTGATAGAGACAGAGCCTTCCCACTCACATCTCAGCATCAGAGTGTCTCCGGGTTTACAGAAATCCCAGACACCACAAGGACCTAAGTCTTATGCGGAATTAGTAATGTGATTGACAGTTCTGCTTTGTCAATGTATTTTCCAGTAGACGTTCAATTTCATTCAGTTCTCATCACTGATAACTTTGTAAATACCAGTTCTACAACAGGCAATGCACTTTATAAGAGAATAAAAACAATGGTTTTGACTGGACCTATGCATGCCATGATACTATCTTATTTTAAATAATGACTTAAGTCAATTGGGTCAGGTAGAGAGGTTAGTTGATCCCCACAGAGTAAACTGTTTCTCAGTGGAAAGCCCTTAAGTGAGGAATCACTGGAGACTATGGTAAATGAATATAATATTTCCAAATCTTTGCATTAAGATGAAAGAAAAAT